AGGTGTTTGCATTGCTTCAGGGGTACAGGATTAAGTCCTTCCAGCCACCAGAGGAGCTGCCAGGACCCATGGGGAATGTGTCACCAGCCCCAGACACCTCTGCTCTAGCAGACTTGTCCCTTTCAGCATAGCAGGAGTTAGAGTGTCCTGTGTGGCAGGGACTGCCTGCCTGCTCCTGCAGAGCTGCAATTAGCTCAGTGGCATTAACCCAGAGGAGGGGCTCCATGGCTTGAGGTGTTCAGAAATACTCCTCCCTCCCAGAGAATTACTTTCATCTTTGAATCCACAAGCAGAAGAGGGTCAGGAAGAGCACACAGGAGACAAACCCCTCCTTAATTTCAAGGCCAAATTATTCTGTTCTACGAGGAACACTCCATCACATGGCCAGGGCCATGTGAGCTGTTTATGGGAGCCACAGCCATCCATCACTCACAGGTGTCCCTCCATGGGACTTTCCCTGCCTCTGATCTCCCCCAACTGAACCCTGTCACCCAGCAGCTGATGCTTTAGAGGGGTTCTCCCAGTACTCCTGGCTCTGCTGCAGGTTTGTGATACAACTGTGGTGCTTCAAGAGTAGGTTTGAAGAATGTGATTCCTCCTTGCTGGCTGGACATTGTAGGGAAAGCTTGTCCTGAGGCACAGCCCTGACCAGGGGTACCACACAGGGATGTGGGGGATGTGGGGAATGTGGTCACCTTGCCCTCCCTGGACTCCCCAAGCCAGCCTGGGTGGCAAGGGGCAGACTTGTCACTGTTGCCATGAGCACCAAGTGGCAGTGAGGAAGAGGAAGGGCTGAAGAAGCACTTGGTGTGTGACATTGTGGGGAGGGCATGAATGCCCAGCCCTGCTGTGATGGTGCACCACGTCCCAGGGCAGAGCAGGATTGTATAAAAGCCTCTGGCTGTGGCTGGCCACCGACATGGGAGCTGACAAAGCAGCGCTGTTCCAGTTTATGGGATTGGAAACAGCTGCTGGTGGGGCACAGATAACCTGGCATGGCAGGGACATGATGTGCTGCTGGAGGTGACAGAGTGGCACAGAGCACGCCCTGCTGGGGTTTGCCCAAACCTTACTGGTTCCTGCTGGTTTCAGCTGGGAGCTGGGCTGGGGCAATGGACTCTTCAGGGACTGCTGTGCTTTCCTTGAGCATCTCCCATTTGGACAGAAGGTTTCTCCCCAAAAGTGGAGTCGAGTGTCAGTTTGTGTGTGGAGCCACTGCTAATACCTTCTTTGCTATTTTTAGCTCAGCAGCCTTGTGCTGTTGGTTTCAGCATTTTTATTTTTTTTTCCTCCCAGTAAATTCCAAATCTTTTCCCTCTTTCACCTTCTATTCCGGGATGCTGCCTGTACCATTCGGCTTTGATCTGCACTGATGCCAAGTGTGTTTTGAAACTCTAAGTATAGCACATCCCTTGAATTTCTCTTATCTAGCAAAGCAGTAATATCCTCAAAGAGCTCCAGCAAGCTGGTTAAAAACCTGACATCGCACGGCTCAGTCCACACCAGCTACTCCTCAGCCTGGTTCCCAGGCATCCTCCCCTCCAGAGTGCTCTGCAGGCTTGTGACCTGGGCTGGGCTCTGCTGCTGGCGTCTCAAAGTCACTGTCAATCTTATTTTACAGCTCAGAGACTGAAAAGGGCAGCTAGGAGCAAAGAGGGCCAATATTTCTTTTTATTTTTTATTTCTCCCCCCCCCAAAGATGCCTGAATGCAGCCTTGAATTTTGCATCTGTAAAATGACTGTAGGTGTAAGTAATAATAATATTTTAGACTTCAAAATAACCAATTTTCCAATGTAGGTAGGTAACTAGGAGGCCAAATGCAGTCGTTTGTGACTGGCAGTGGATTGCAAGGGCAAAGATCTGAAGGCTGCTCTTAAATACGTCCCCAAAATGTCTGGTGCTCTATACACACACACTGTAACAAATTAATGTCAGATGCTGCACTTGGTATAATTAGACAGGATTTAGAGTGGCAGAGCCAGCAAATTGCTACGATTTATGTGAAGCCCCTACCCTAGGGTCTGTACCCACTGCTGCTTTGTCGTCACTGAAAATTCCTTCATCGGTTGAAGGACGCAGCTCCTGGATTGCTTTGCACAATTTGGTCCCCAGTTTGGCCCCTGGATGGATCCCCTGATCCTTGCGATGCTCTTTGGGGTGCAGGGTTTGAGTAGAAGCCCACAGAGCTGATAAACTACATAAACCACAAGGGACAACCTACCAGAAGGACACCAGAGCCAGAGCGCTAGGAAGCACCAATCTGCTTAGTAAATCCTTTTCTGCCTTTTCCCAACACAGAGTATGAATTTAAAAAAGGTTAGAAAAAAGAAAAAGCGCTTTCATTCCCTAGTTCTCATTAAGAGATAAACTCAATCTGGTTTAACTAAGCCAAGCTCTGGCAGTGGCGGCGCGTGAGTGGCGCGGGTCTGCTCCAAAGTGGAACCAGCTCCCAGCCCCACACTTCAGGAAACATCTCATCCAGCGAACCTCGTATTTTTCCCACAAACTCCCCTCGAGCTGTAAAGAACATCTGGATAATTTTAGGCAGAAAGGGATTTTCCCAGAAAGTAGCAGGGAGAGGGTGGGGGTAGGCAAGGGACTGGTTATATTTGGAAGCCTCTTTCAAGCATGGAGACCCCGTTGTGGCGGCAGCATCGTGGGGTGATGCTGAGCGGTGCAGCGGTGAGGGCGGCTGTTGCACCGGCATGGAGAAATATCTGGCAGCAATTTGTGGCCACAGGTGGGTTTTTCTCCTTGCAGCTGAGTTTTGGAGTGTGCTTCTGCCTGTACTCCCTCATTTGCCCCGGGATGAAGCAGGGAGCTGCTGAAATCCTCCGGAGATTTGGTCCAGTGGCTCCAGGGCAGCTCCGGACATGGCACTGCTCAAAAGCAACAGAAAGGCAACAACAAAAAGGCATTTTGAATAGACAAAGTGCCCCAACTGCCTCGGGGCCCAGTCAAGCATTGCTTGGTGCTCAGAGGGGTCGATGATGAGGGTATGAGGAGGCAGCTCATCAAGCCCTTATTAGCACAGGAACTGCCGAGTGCAAATTAACGCGCCAGACTCTGTCCCAGCCGTACGGAGAGCGCCACGTGCGCAGCCACGCTGAGCAGTTTAATCAACTCAGAAAGCAATTTGTTCTCTCTCTCTTTATAACCTTGACAAGCTAGCGGGTTATTTTTAAGCACACCAGCAGAGGCAATTCCCGGCTGGTTGGCAGCTGGCTGGCAAACCACCACGCTGGGCAGGTGAGCAGCCCCCTGCCAGCTCTGCTTCAGGGCAGGGAGAAGCTTTCCCCAGGCTTTCAGCACTTTCACCCACACATGCCCAGGTCAGGCACACTCTGCTGTGGGCACAGTCCACCACTTTGGGGTAGCACAACGCCCTGATGCTGTTGACCTGGGGACACATGTGTGCCCTGCTTGCTGTGTGCTGTGGAGAAGGTTGGAGAAGCCAAGAGTGCAGGGCTGAGGGACTAAGAACAGCTCAGGGCTGATGATTCCCCAGAGGATGGGTGGGTAACTGAGAGGAGCTGTGTTGTAGAGGCATTGCTGGAATTTCTTTCGCTGCAGCGGGCTGTCCCTAGGAAGGGAGGATGGAGGAGATGGTGTGTTGGGATGGCAGACCCACTGCCACATGCACCCTGACACCCAGCCTGCTCCTTCACCTCCTACATCTGAGCTCCCACTGAAGGAAGGCAGATGTTTTGCTGGCACAGTGCCCACTGTGCAGCATAACCAAGGTCACCCAGGCACTGGTGTCAGGCCACCAGCCCAAATTTTGACCAGGGCAGCTCCCACGCTCCCTGCTGCAGCACTGCAGTACTGTCTGAGTTTGTCCTGTGGAGCCTCCTTCCTTCCAGAGGTCAACTGGACCACTGAGGTGGGAGACATGGGACCTGGAAAACTGAGAGTAGGCGCAGCTGCCTCTGACTGCTCAGTGTCCTCAGGGCACTGGGCTGTGTTTGCTTTGGCCTGTGCTGCCCCAGCAGCTGCTCAGATGTGCCGGTGATAACACGATTAGCAGTAAATTGGTTAATGCTTTCCCAGCCAGCAGGACGCACAGGGTGCAGAGGCCACCTCCCTGCCATGACCACCACAGTCCTCTCAGACCCAGAGGTGCTGGGTGCTCTTGGGGACAATGCTGACATGCTGGTCCCCCCTCACCTGGGAACTGTGGAGGGCCTGGGGAGCAAGATTCCTGCCCCAGCAATGATATGGTTCAGTGCCTGCACTTCCAGCCGATGTAAAGCAGTGTCCAAGTTTATAGAGAATTAGTGAGACTGAGGAACATTATTTTTCTTTATTAGGTTAAAGGGTAAGCAAATACAATCAATCTTGTCATGTATCACAAGATGTCAGCAACTTCCCACCTCAGCCAGAAAATTACCGGCTCCTCAGTGGATTGTGGAATTACATTCATAACCACAGAAAACAAATATATACATGTATATTTTAATGAAAACACTGAAGGTCGCTACCTCACATCATCATCACAAATAGGTTACTGCTGAGCTAATTTAATCAACAACAAAATCCAGACTGCAGAGGAACCCCCACTTGGAGGAAGATGCAGCCCATTTAGGGAGAGGAAGGTGTTGGTGAAGGGATCTACATGGGATGGAGCTGGCAAACATGATCCCAGGCCCCAGGCTGGGCTGGTGTCCACAGGGACTTGCTGCCCCAGCCCCCAGCCCCGACCCAGATGAGTGCAAGCATAGTGCTGTGTTCTGCCCCGTGTTTTAATGATGCTCTACCCCATGTTTTAGCCACAGGCACATTTTGCAACAGCCCTGTTCTGGCACAGTTTGGCTTCTTCATTTAACAACTCCCTAATTCAATTGCGCTCATCCCCACCCTTCCCTCGCCATTCCTGGTTCAGATAACCTTGCTGAACTCCTCTTGGAGATTAACCAGCGGGAGGGAGCCTATTAGCTGGTCCAAGCTTCAGAGCTGCTAATCAAAGCTAATGAATTAACCAAGAGGGTGTTGATTTCCAATCCTGAGCATTCAGGAGGAGGGACAAGATCTGTCCTTCCCCCTGCCCCATCTCCTGCATCCCACTGCAGACCCCTGCTCTGAGTGCAGGATGCTGCCCTCTCCCCTTTCTCCATCCACAATCCCACCTGGCTCAAGGCCAGCCAGGGGTGAGGTAAGAGGAAAGCCCTTTTGAGCTGGGAAGACACAAATAATCATAGTAATGATGACTGGTAGGACTCTGAGCTGCCTGCCAAGATCACGAGCTGCTCAGACAGCCCGAAGAGCAGCGAGGCTGGAAGTCATCTGGCAAGCACGGGGCTGTCCACAGCGGTGGCGGGGCAGAGGGCAGGGGATGTGGAGAGGCGAGGAGGAGCGTGGGGCCGGAGCCTTTCCTGCCTGGCAGGATGAGGGATGTGGCCCAGCAGGGCCAGTCTCACCGTCGCGGGCACTGTGCCACGGAGGAAGCTGCGTGTGCTGGCCGCCACCAAGGGCTGCTGCTGCCCCGTGTGTGACCCTGTGTTAACCCTGCTGTCCCCATGCAAGGGCGGCTCGGTGACATTTTATCCAGTGCCAGAGTAACTGTGTTGCTGAACATGAAGTGGTCTCCTCCTCACTCTGCAAAGGGCAGCACTGAATCATCCCCGTTTGCAGCTGCAGCTCCAACGTGTCCACGTGTCATTCCAAACCAAAAATGTTAGGTGGCACTCAGCAAGGTCCCCCAGTCTGGAGGCAATAGGAGGAAAGGGGTGGCCCAGGCAAGTGCAGTTGTTCTCTTGGTGGGAGGGGATATGGCAGCACCTTCCCACTCCAGAACAGTGCACTGTCCAAGATCTGATGTGCAGGGTAGGTGATGATGGTGATGCTGTCTCCTGTCACTGCAGCATCATGACACCAGGATCAACCCTTGACCCTGAGATGCTCATGGGCAGGTAGTCTTGGATGTCATTCTTGGAGACATTCTGCACACAAAGCTGGTAAGGCACTCATATCCATTCCAGTCACCGTCTGTCCCTCTCCTGGCCACAGAGCCACGCTGTGAGGTGTCTGTCATCTCTGTCACCCAGCAGGCAGAGACCAGGTTTGCCCAGCATTTTTTCTCCAGACCTGCCAAGGAAGCCCAGCCATCCACCCTGAGGATAACACAGGCAGCCTACTCCAGATCCAGCGAGTGCCCAGCCCATGGTGACAGGGACCATAAAACACTTGCACGAGCAGATGTGCGGCAGTGCTGAGGGCTGGCTGCCTGCCTCCTTTGGAGTGTCCCTGACCCAGAAGTGTCCGGGGTTGCCCAGGTTGCTCAAGGCTCCTCTGGGAGCTCTGGTTCAGCTCCTGTGCATTGCAGGGAAGCTGTGACAGCTCAGAGCTGCAGAATTACTGAGATTGCACCACTTGTTGTTTGCTCAGATGATGTTGGCTGACAGCTGCCATGCACACACTGATACTCAGCAGAACCAGCAGTAGGATGGTGTCTGTTCCTGCCTGGAGTTTGCCTGCACCACCTGCTGTACTTTGGACAATGATGGCTTCAGTGTGCAGAGCCCAGGTGCATGGGGCACAGCCACCATGCTGAACAGCATACCCAGGGCAGCTGAAAGATGTGCAGGCACAAGCACACAGAGTGCAGCCCCCTGCACTTGGTGGCACATGCAGACCCCCAGCCTCGAGCTGGACTCCTCCACCCAAGCCCAGGGCTTTCAGATGAACCCAAATACCTTTCAAAAGGGTTTCCCAGCAGGACATGTGCAGGAGGACCGTGGTGAGCTGGCTGCCCTGGCGCTGCAGGCGCCCTGCATCCGCAGCCACGGCGTGCTGCCGCTGTGCAGCCCTAGCCCGCCCTCATTTATCTCCCCTCCAAATTGTGAATGAACGAACTTTCTCCCAGAATAAATAACCATCGCTCAAAAGTTATTTTAGGGCTGGTCTCGGTCGCTGGAGTTTCCGCGCCTGCCGAGGCCCATCACATTGTTTTCTGCTGCTTTCCTTGGCACGGCCCCAGTCCAGGGTTCAGAAGTTATTACTATAAAAGTCAAATTGATTTGAGGGGGGGAGGCTGGGGGAGGCAGGGTCGGTGGAGGGAGAGGGGATGGGATTCCTGGAAAGTCTCCAGCCAGGGATAATTGGAGCTGTGCGGGGTTGGACCAGTCCCCGCCGTGCTCGGGGGAGCGTTTCACCTGGCCTGTGGCCAGCGGAGCCGAGGCAGGGAGGAGGAGAAGGGCTGGGTTATTGCAGGCACAGCCCCCCCTGAAATGCGGTGCTGCCGAGGCTTGGTGTGCTGGGGGGGATTCCTGGGGGCCTCCAGGCTCATTCCTTGCCATCTCCTGGAGAGCCCTTGCCCATCCTCCTTCTTGCAGCCCCTTGAACCTGTGCTCTCCCCACTTCCATTTAATGCTGGTTATTTCCCCATCTACAACACTAATTACTTTCCTGCCTTTGCACTGAGAATTGCCTTAAGCCCTGAAATATTAATGTTTTATTTCCCTTCTAAAACTTCCTCTTTCAATGTTTGCCACCACGACTTGGTAAATTTTGGCCATCCATAAAAGCAAATGTTCTGCCCCTTCACACCAGGCACTGTATCCAGTTGCAGTAAAGCTGGTGACAAGGTACCAGTCATCATCCTGAATGAAGCAGCCTTGCTCTCAGTCCTTTGGGCTCTTTTCCCACACCCTCTAGTCAAGGGTTGCCCTGGACCTTTCCTAGCACAACAGGACAGGAGCAGCTCATGTATGTGGGATCTCAGTGGGGATGTCCTCTCCCAGGGTGTCCTTGTGGGATGTTGCCCTGACTGTGTCCCAAATCCTTTGATCTAAACTTGGTGCTATTTTTTTAAGTTCCGTTAAATGGTCATGCTGGTGTCTCCATGCAACCTCATTAGGATTCAGTTTGCTCTCTCCTTTCCTCCAGGCAGCCTTGTTTTTATTCTTCCCATTATTTAAGGTTGACCTTTTAGCAATGACCAACAGATAGGGCCGTGTCTGTGCTGGCCCTTCCAACCTGCACCCCAGAGACCTGCCCCAGGCTGCCCCTCACCTTGGAGCTGACACCCCAAATCCACCACAACACACAGTGCTGGGGAAGCACTGCAAACACCCCACAGCCAGGATTCTCAGGCTGGGAGCAGGCAGGAACAGCCAGGAGATAAGACGTGGCTCACCTTTCATGGGTGCAGCTCGTACACCTGGAGCAAAATCATCAGACGTGGGTATCCACTCATGGATCAGCGAGGTGACCGCCGGGCAGCAGGGCTGCGAGGGACAGGGAGCAGGCACAGGAGGTCACCTGGCAGCAGGAAAGATGTGACCTGTGGAGGTACTTCAGAGAGGACATCTTCATGGAATCACTGACAGGAAGATCCCAGCGTTGTTCTCATCCCACTGGCACTCCAGCTCGGCTGCCCTGGCATGGCACAGGGCACATCCCCAGCCCTTTCCCTGCCCCATCTCCTGCCAGGGTGATGAAATATTGCACTACATGTGATGCTCAGAGTCAGCAAATATAAAAGCATTAACTGAGTATAAAGAAGAAAAATGTGAGGAAAGAAGGGGAGAGGAAGCAGGGTGAATCTCAGGTCCATGGCAGCTGGGAGACAGGCAGGGCACTCTGCCCCATGCACCTGGGACCTCCCTGCCTGAGGACATGTGGAAAACCCCTGTCCCAGAGCTGCAGAGTTGCCATTCCACACCTACCATGACCCAGCACAACCCCCCAGGCCCAGCTGGTGGTGCAAGTCTCTGCTTCTTGCAGGTAAAAGCCAGCAGAAATTACCCCTGGGGCCACATCCAGGTGGGCTGGTGGGTGAGGTTTGGTCCTGGCTTCTCTGTACACTTTTTCCACTTAACCTTTCCTTTTACAGAATCATAGAATCATTTGGGTTGGACCTTTAAATGCCATCTAGTCCAACTCCCTTGCATGGGCAGGGGGATCTTCAGCTAATTTAGGTAGTCAGAGCCCCATCCAGCTAGGCTTTCCAGGTACAGGGCATTCACCACCTCTCTGGGCAGCCTGTGCCAGTGTTTTACCATCCCCAATGTAAAAAAAACTCTTTGTATTTAGTCTAAATTGACCCTCTTTCAGTCTAAACCCACTGCCCCTTGTTCTGTCCCTCTTAACCCCCTGCTGTGAACCCCTGCCACCCCACCACCCCTCTCCTGCAATCGCCGTCCACCAGGCATAGCTGGTTCCTTCTCTATCCCTTCCCTAATGGATCTGACAGCTGCTCCCTGCACTGGGCCGGGTTTCAGTTTCCCCACGCTGAGGTTTTCTTGCACAGTCTGTTGCAAAGCAAGAGCCAGGCCCGTCTGGGCCGTGTGGCAGCGATGCTCCCTGGCCGTGGCACGGCTGCCAGGCGGGTCACCCTGCTGGCCCCTCCTGGGCACTCAGCGGCACGCTGGGGACAGGAAGGAAGGAATAGAGTCATAGGGATCAGATTATGAACTGAGCAATATCTCGTGCGGAAGAGCCTGTGGGGAAGGGGCTTCCAGGGCTATTTTCGCCCAACGAAAGTTGCAATTAATTTGCGGAGGAAGTCGCTCGGCATTAAGAAACCCTCCAGGCAGAGTCCGGACCCAGGGACACACATCCCATTATTTTCTCGTTTAAAAACCATCTCGGTGGTGAAGGGGGCTGCTCCCCCCGGGCTGGCGCTAACGGGGGGGAGCTGGGGAAGGGGGGAGCCGGCTCTGGAGGGGCAGGCGTGTTTGGAGAGGGAGAGGGAGCTGAAATTAACCTTGGAAAGCATTCAAATTAGACTGTGTAATAAGAGACCCACTTCTCTGGGTAAATTTGTTAGGATTAGGGCTCACTGAGCTGTTGAGGAGAATTCAGCATGGCTCAGAGCCAGGACGAAATGAAGCTCCTGGCTTGGTCGGCTGCGGGAAAGTCCAGGCTAATGGGCTTTGGTTCAAACTTTGATAGGAAAAAAATCCAGGAACAAAGGCACTAATTCTTCCAAAAGCCCCAAAATCTCAGTTTATACATTTCTGTTTATGTTCATTCATAATAGATATACACAGCTGTTCTTATCATTCATATTCAAATTCCATATGCATCCTTAGCAGTTAGTACTCCTGCCTCAAAATGAAAAAAAGAAAAAAGCCATGTGGAAGATTAAAGAAAACTGAAAAACAACCTGTCTTGGGGTGTGAATTCTCCCAGCATCTGTGTCTGAGGTCAGGTCCTTGCACTGGGGTCCAACCTCGGGACAGAGGAGGAGCCCACTACCAGCTTGGGCTGGACATTTTAGAGACTTATTTGAGTCTTTTTGTCACCTGCCACAGACCACCCATGTGCTGAGCTTCCTCTGCCCTGGGGAGTGAGGTGGCTGGCTGGGGTTCACCCTGTGCCACCAGTCCTGGCACCCATCAGCTTGCCCATGGCTTCCCCAGTGATATTCTGTAACTGGAGAGGAGTGGACAAGCCTGATCTGCTCCCCAAGGCAGGGACATCTGTGCTTAAACTGCCCTGGGTGAACAGAAGGGAGCTATTCTAAATTCCATTGTTATAAGCTAAGAAAACCCCAGACAAACCAAAACTGTGATTTCATGTTATTTGGTCTTTTATTTTAAAAAAAAATTCTCTGTCTCACATTCCAGAGGATCTCTCCTTGCTTCCTTCAAAAATTATCCCTGGATAAGGAACAAAAAGAACCAAAAAAACAACCAAACAAAAACCCCCAACATTTAAATCTGGATATCTCACAGAATATTTGCATCTTAAACCTTATTTTTTGATCCCTGGAATTTGCTCTTACAGACAAATCTAGTGCTGTTGTGTAAAGCTCATTAGTAAGAACTATCTGCTAGAATGAGCAGTGGGGACGAAGATAGCAGGGATACTTAAAGTGTTGTCACTAGGTTTCAGAGTTAATCCTGCTGAGAAGTTCCCCTCTCAACTCGGAGCTGTTGTTCTGCACATCCATGACACTGCTATTGATTCTTAGGATTATTAGGGAAGGCTGAGACTCCATCCCTCTGCAGTGGATGTGTAACCTGTGGTACCTCGAGGCAGGCAGCAGGAACAGCTGCAGTGGCACTGGGCTGCTGCAACAGCCCCTGACCCTCCTCCTCCTCCTCACCTCTGCACTGTGCCCAGGTGAGATGCAAGTTCTGGCACGGCAGGGATGTGGCCTGAACCATCCTGGGCAGCTTTAACCCGTGCTCCAGAGCCAGGAGGGGGGTGACAGGCCCTGTGGAGCAGCGTGCTGCTGCTGTATTTACATTCCAGCGTAAATTAGCTTCTCCTCTGGTCTCTCACGCGTCCTGTCCCCATCCCCCGGCTGCCGCAGCCCCTCCGTCTGGGTGAAATATCCTTTAATGGGGAGATGTGTGTTCTGGCCACAGCAGAAGGGGAGCAGCAGCCTGGGGGAACCTCGAGCACACCAGACAGGGCCCCGTGTCCCCCCGTGCTGTGCCCAGCATGGTCTGTAGTGCCTGTGACGTGCCAGTGCCTTCCCCCGTGCCATCCCTGACACCCAGGGCACAGGTTCAACATCTGCCCAGGACACCTCCCACCACGGATGTGTCCCCCACTCAGGTTTGGGTGCCTGTGAGACGTGAAGGGAGGCATCATCCCGAGACTGAAAGATCCCCTGTGGGCTGTAGAAGGCAGGCCAGAGGAGTAGAAAGCAGGCTCACCCAGCCGTCTTTCATTTCATGAACAAACACATGAAGACCTGGAAGCAATAAATCCAGAGCTTGGACTACAAAACCAAACACGGCTGCAGCTCCCCCTTGGAACAGGAAAGTGGGAGGAAGAGGGTAGCCACAAAGCCAGCCAAGGAGCACAGGCACAGTGTCCCCTCCTGAAACCACCAGGATGCTTTAAAGGGCCTGCTTCAGGGTGCACTGGCACAAATGTGTCCCCAAAAAGCTGCACGTGCTGGTTCTTTTGTGCTGTCAGTCACTGTGCCCCAGGGATGCTCAGAGCATTCTTGGAAGCAGCCTGGACTGACAGGGTGAGCAGCTGTCCCTCCCCCAGCTGGAAGCACCAGGAGCAGAGCCCAGAGGTGCAGAGGGAGCACTGGGAGGACATGTACCCTCCCTCTGGATGCACAGCATCACCCACACCCCACGCTCGAGGTGCCAGCTCGTGCAGCAGCCAGAGCCCCTCGGGGGCAGTGGGTCATGTGTGCTGTGCCACTGGGTGCTGTCCTGGCTGCTGCCCCATGTGGGGCTGCCCTGGGGGTGCTGCTGTGGGAGGGGGCTGCTCTGTGAGCAGGGCTCTGCCTGTGCAGGGCACCCTGCCAGGCATTTCCCAGCCTGGGTGCTTCCTGACCATGGGTGCAGCGTGGCACCCAGTGCCCGGGATGACTCCCACCTCACAGCACTCCCTGGAAAAACAGCTGGGAGCCACCAGACCCTGTTGCTGTCAGGTCTCCCCAGCCCAGCTATCTCACTCCTGCTGCCAAGCCCCCCACTTTCCCCTCCCATCTTGCACCAGGAGCTGAGCATTTGTGTTGCTGGCCCTGCCAAAACCCTCTGGCTGTCTGCCACCTGCCCATGCAGAAGGAAGGACAGGTGTGTGCCCAGGCTGTCAGCACTGCCTCCAAACCGAGAGCTCTCTTTAGGAATCCCTGATTCCCATGTAGCTGGGGACATCCCACCCTGGAGACTTGGGAAGTCCTGCTCCCATCGGGCCAGAGACACAGGGAGGAAGAGGAGAAGAGGATGGAGAAGTAACAGCACAACCAATGGGCAACAGAAGCCATTAGTGGGATGCCTGGCCAAGCCTGCACTTCCCCATGGTCAACCTGCAGTAATCCCAGCTTTCCCACACCCCTGCCAGGTTCAAGGGCAGACTGGGTGCCCACCAGCTCCCTCCCCAGGACCCCACTCACCTGACTCGATGATCTTACAGATGATCTTTTCCAACCCAGATGATTCTAAGATTCTATTACTTCCCTGGCAGCCGGGGAAGCTGCAGCAGCATCAGAGCCGCCTTCTCCTTCCAGCATTCGGTCAAACTGCTATTTGTAAAACAAAGGTGAAAACATCAAATCAAATGGATGAGTCAGAGGAGAAGTTCAAAAAACGGGGAGCGTGGGGAAGGGGAGAAGCAGGATCTCCATCTCTCCTCCCACCTGCATGCAGGCAGTGAAGCAGCAGGGAGACAGGCAGCACCTCGCCTGCTGGCAGCCCATCACGGCTTCAAAGCGGGCGCAGATCGGATCTAGCAGCAGCCGGGGATGCAGCGAGCAAGCGCTTAGCGGGGAAAGGAGATGGCTCTGATAAGCCAACGTGTGAACTCCCAGGTTTAAATTAACTAATGACTTCAGATGCTGCCGATAGTCTGCAGGGGATGGGGAGGAGTGATTTATGGGAGAAGATTAAACAGACTAATTAGGCCAGCTTTACCATTTAGGAGTTACCCAGCCAGGCTGGGGGCTGTGCCAAGGAGGACCCACTGTGCCACAGCCTTGTGAGAAAGGATGGGGAGCAACTCCAGGGCCCCCTCTGAAGCCACAGGCACTCTGGCAGTGTTCTGATCCAGCAGCACCCCTGCATGAGCGCAGTAGATCCTGCCACACAACCCAGCACTCGCCCACAGCTGCCTGCTCTCAGGTGCAGACATGAGAGACTTGTGGACTCTCTTCTGCTGCATGACCTGAACCTCCCCAGTGCTTCCCAAACAGCACAGAGGGTCCAGGGCCTGCTCAACCCCCACTGCTTTATGGCCACAGGACCAGGCACTAAAACGGACCAGGCACCACAGCTGCCAGGTCTCTGGGGTGAAGTGCAAGGTCAACAGGACTCACACCAAGGTTCTTTCAAATCCCAGTTATGTACATACCAAGAATCAGTAATTTCCAGTGGCTGGGCAAGCACTGAGCTCAGCCTCATGCTGCACTGACTCACTGCTCTCACGTGTAAGGAGTTGCCAAGGTCTCAGCCAGGAGAGCTTTTTATCACGTTATGGGAAAGCACTTGGAGTTTCCTTTTCCAGGAGCCCTGGATATAATAAAAAGGCCTCCTCAGGCTTCAAAGAAGGCGGATTTTCATTGCTTCCTGGGCCAAGAACAAAGCACTATTGAGCACAGCCAACAGTTGTTGTCTCTGTCCCTTGATGTGCATCAAGCATCCCGTTCTCAGGCTTGGAGGGCTCGGTTCACAGGGAAGGAGACAGGTTCATCCACAGCCGTTGCTCTGGACCAGGAACACTCTGAGATGGGTTTTTCCCCTTGAATCATCCCAGTTTCACCATGAACTGCCAGGGTGGCCATGGGCAAGGCATGAGGAGCGCTGGTGGCCTGACCCCAGGGCTGGCATCACTTCCCCATCCACCCATTTGGTACCTGCAAGACAACGGGGCACTGCTAGAGTGCATAATGTGGTTTTCAGCAAGGATTGAATGCATGACTGTCTAAATAACACAGAGGTACCATGAAAACAGCTGTTTCCACGTTCAAATGGAAATTTAACAGTGACAAGCAGGAGCTGCAGGGGATGCAGCGTGGGCTTCCTCCAGGAACCCACACAAGTCGCAGCTTAGGGCTGGAGCATGAACTTCCCACCATATCCAAACTGATGCTTGCCCAGAGCAGTTCAGGGAACTTCCTGCCCCCTGCCCTGGGGCACCCACGGAGAGCAGGAGCCCTGCTTCCAGCCCGCCGCCTCCGGCACTGCGACATGCCAGGGACAGACAGTTGGGGACATTTCCCAGATGCCTTTGGAGAAACAGGAGTTCCTTGTCACTGCTATCAGCACCAAGCTCTTGGGCCCTTCCCCTGCCCACGCTTGGTCTGGGACGGGTTTCCTGGAGCTCTTTGTCATCAGTGCATGGGGACTGGCTGGGGAGGGCTCTGCCTGGCTTGGTGCCACCAGTCCCACTGCTGGAAATGAGGTTTTGGGAGAAGAAATTTCTGATGTCCCCATGGCTCCTGTGTGCAATGCAAAGAGCCAGGCCAAGCAAGGCTGTGGTGGTCTCATGAGCCCCTGCCTGCTCCCCACATTCCCTGCTGCCCGCCCTCACTCTGTTTCAACCACCTCACCCCACTCCCCTGAGAAACAATAAATCTTCATGTTTGTGCAGAGACAGAGTCAGGACAATTCACATGGGAAAAAAAAAAAAAGAAAAAAAAAGGAATAAAAAGAGGAAAAAACCCGGTCCCATGATGTCCCACAAACACCACACCGTTGTGGCGGCCTGTGAGCTGCTTCAGCTGTGCACATCACTGGCAAGAAATTACTCACTGCAAAATATTTTTGTTTCCCCAAACCATTAATGAATTATTTAGGCATCTCTAGCAGTTACATGGAGAACGATCAAGCGCTGCTCAGTGTGGGCTGCCTCAGTGCCTGCCAGGGAGCAGCTTCTGGGGGAAGCAGCCCCATCGTCGTGAGGCTCCACGTGCCTGAGCAGAGCCATGGCACTGCAGAGCTCGCTGTGGTGCTGCCAGCCGGGCAAAGAACGTCATCTCTCCCTACAAAGGCTACAACCAGGAGCAGGAGCTTTGTTCCAGAGCTGGAAGAGCGAAGTTCACCTGCTCCGCCTCCCCCAGCCTTTTCCTCCCTGCGACGTGCTCCAGGCACCTGCCCAGTGCCAAAACCGTGGAGAAACTCGGCACTGATTTGTAATGTGTGAAGGTAATCCAGTGCTGGAGCAAACTGCTGCACTGAGTCACAGCAAACCTTGGCTACCTGCTAACAAACATGGGCCTGGCATGTCTGAAACCTGCAGAGAAAGCCCTGGCTGTGCAGACGGGAGAGCTCTGGCTGCTGCCGATTGCAGCCATGAAACTTCACGGGGGTGACACCAATCCCTGACAAAACAGGCCCTGCTAACACACACACGTGCTCAGAGTGTCTCATCGGCTCAGTGCAGCCTCCTGGAGCAAGGTACCGCTTGACATCCGGCACTAGCACTATCAGGCACAAGCTGGAGGCTCCTGAACCCCCAGGCAAGGAGATATTCCCAACTGCTCCAAGAAATACCTTTAATCCTGCAGATAAATGCACCCAATGTGGAGAAATGAGGGGATAAAAGCACTCTCTAAGAAAACTTCAGAAGGACAGAAGTCCTTTCATAAAATCTCCCCTCCTTGTTGGAAAGGCACACGGTGAGGATGGACTACTGCTCTCTGAAGGTGAGCACTGGCCTGGTGCCTCACTGCTGAAGGATGTGGGAGCTCATGGGAGAACTAGGGAGCTGGTGCTGGGCACTGGGAGGCTGCAGGGCACTGTGCCCTGTAGCTAAAGAAGAAAGCTATGTTTTACAGCTCAAATCCCCAGTAAGGGATGGGAAGCCCTGGCTGTCTCTTTTCTGTATAGTCAACAGACTACTGACACTGATCTTTAGGAATCACAAAGAAGCTCTTGGGGCTTTCAGCTCAACTGTAAAGCCTCTTCATCCCTTCCCTCTCTCACTCTCACACCAAGTTTACAACCTTTGCCACAAATCCATCTTTAGGCTTGTCCTGGACAGGCTGGAGGCTGCATGGGTGTCTGGGTGGGGTTCAGCCTCACCAGCCACCATGGATCTTGCCCCACAACAGGTCCTGCATTCCTTCTGGCAGCCCCCAGCTGCATTTCTCCCAACACTTTGCCTTCTCCCCTTTCTCCAGCTAAGCCCCCCTGCATGGCCTCAGTTACTGGCAAAGGATCCCACAGACCCCGGCTGGTTACACCCTTCTTAGACCTGGGGACCATCACCTGCTTCCAGCTCCTGAATGATGTCCAAATTCTCTTGCTTATGGTTTCACAGCTGCCTGATGTCTCAGCCATCCCCAGCTTGCCTAGTTCATGGCATCCCCAGCACTCCATGAGCTTGGCACACTCCTGGCCCCAGGTCCCCAGCTGGTCTTTTATCTTCTGAATTACTTCCCCTGTGCTGAAGGATGGGGCAGAAAGAGCTGAGCTGTGCAGGTGAGGGTGGATCTGGAATCCATGCAAGCCTGAGTATCAGTGCCTGGGAGTTCAGCCACTGCAATTTCCAGAGTAGTCCCCTCCCCAGGGAAATCACTCAGCCCACTTTGGCTGCTTCTAAATTTGGCAGAGCATCTCACCTGGGCTCGATGGTTTGGGCAGTTAGACCTTCTCCACATCCCTCAACTCCCCTGGCACTGGTTTCTCTGGTGTCTCAGCACTGGAAGCAGAGACCTGGAGGGAGGGATCCCCTGTAAACGAGAGGGGGTTTGCAGACTCCGCAGCTTCCCCTCCCTCATTCCCAGCCCCACTGTGCATCATGTGGCTCTCGCCTGCAGCAGGGCCCGGGACCAGAGAAACACACGCTTTTTGTCAGGGCTGGTCTCCTGATGTTTATTTCCCTTTGCCGTGGGAGCAATTTCCCCTTCCCACGCAGGCAGCGCCGGCCGTGGCGGTATCAAACGCGGCCGTGGGGATGGGGCCAGCCCCAGCCCTGGCAGAGCCAGGCAGGGACCCGCATCTCATCCGCTGGCATGCAGCACGCAGCGCCTGCAGGAAACATATGTCACTGCTTAAACAGATCGTGAAAGCTTCAATCACTTCCTTATGGCGGAGCCAGGCTGCGTTCACACCGACAGCCAGCATCTCCTGCGCTCTTTCTGCGAGCGAGACCAGCCCTGTGGGTGCTCCCCTGCCTCGCTGCTCCCCTGTCCCCACGGAAAGCTCCACAGGGAGCTGTGGAACACCGTCCCGAAAAACAAACCGGTGCTTCTCAGCACCTTGTCACCTCCCTAAGATGCGCCCTTCTGCCTGCAAACCTGCCCTGCAGGAAACTCAGGGATGGAGCCCTCCCCAAATCCACAGTGCACCCCCAGGCTCCCTCCAGCTGCTGTGTTTGGGGCACTCTGCACTTGCTGGCAGCACACGGCCAGAGTCCAGAACGGTCTCACTGCTCCCCAGCCATTCACTGACCTTTGGGGCGGCCTTGGAGAGGTTCAGTGCATTTCATGGGAATCAGCAGTGCGTGAAGCATGGGATCCCCCAACTCTGCCTGTCCCCAGGGAGCTTCATACAGAGCTTTCTTGGGATGTCTCTTGGAGCAATCTTCTTTGGAGGGATGTCAATCACACATTCTCTCCTGCTCCACTGATGGGATTCTGAAAGCTCCCAGAGGGCCACAGCTGCCCCCTCAGCCCATCCCCTGCAGCAGGGTGCAGGGCTGCCCAGGCGGGTCCCTCCCTCCTCCCGCAGACGTGGGTAGGTGTCGGTGAGACGATGCATCATCACAGCGTCTCTACCATTACGCTCCGATTTCTCCCGTGGGCTGGAAGTTGCTTTTTTTGGAAGAGATGCAGGCAGGAAATCTCACGTGGGCTTTGGCGATGAGACTGGCGGCTGCAGTCATCCGAGCCCGGCAGAAGGAGAGCTTGGCGGCCAGGCCAGCCTGGCCATGGTGCTGTTGCGGTGGCAGACTACCTGCCAAAGAGCTCCCCCGGATTCTCTGCTGCCACCCTGCCTTGCCCAGAGGTTCCCCTGTCTCCCCCTGCCTTCCTGCAGCTTCCAGCCACCTCCACAGCACCTCTTGCCTGGATGGAGGGGACCACTTGACAATAACATCTTCCTTATGCGCCTGCAACAACAGCCAAAATCCTCGGCCTTTCCTGGGATTGCATTTCAGTCAAATGCCCACACCCTCACGAAAGGAAAGAGCAAGACAAGGGTGTTATTTCTGCAAACACCAACACCCACAGAGCTCCTTGCCTGCTGGAGACGAGGGCACACAGGCTGGTGCCATGTCTGTGCAGCTCCCACCTCCCCAAGCTCTGCTCACCAGGACTTCACCTGAAGCAGCCAGTGTGCCAGGCACAGTCCTCCTGCCTCCCTGCTTGGAAGCAGCACCA